AAACATGTTTTCTTTAAACAATCTCCTAAACTACACCGTTCATCAGCCAGAAGCTGTAAAACAGTCAGTATCGTCAGGTTTTAACCTTTCCAACGGTCCTTGAACTCATCACGTGTGACGAACACTTCCGTCGTAAAAGCAGCCGAAACTACGCTTAAAATATTTCATCAGTTACATATACGAGCTCGTTTCTCCGACATCTCATGTTTGATTCTTCAGAGGTCTTTAATCTGATAATCACAAAGTCAGAAGACTTCTTATGATAATTAATAAAAACCTGAACATGACGCAACTGAAGAACTAAGCCTGATCTCTGTGGATAACACTGTTGTATTCTGATATGAGAACATCATGATACAAGTTATTAAGAGGAGCAGGAAACAGAAGTCTCAAACAAGATAAATGTAAATATTTAAGCTGCGATGACATCCTGCCCGGTGAACAGCTGATTCAAAGATCCAGGATGTGATCAGTCCTGTGAACACAAGAGTCAGCTGACGAGTGACTCCATCACCTCAGGACCGTCTGAGAGTCAAGACAATGACGGAGCGGATGCCTCGCCCTGGAGGCGCTCCGCTCTGTTTGCGAAGGCAGCGATGCTGAAGATGCGAAACAAGCTGAACAAGTTCTTTATTGACCGAGACGAATGTGGAAATATTACCTCCAGACTTCTAGATCATAAAGAACAAGGCGCTGAGAGACGCAGCATTGTGGTGAAGATATAACTCAGTCCAAGCTGCTCCATCTACAGTCATATTTAGGGTCATTGTTTACGTTCAGAACACATGAGGAGAAACTGATGGTCTCCAACAGAAGGTTAAACAGGTCACATGACAGCTAAGTTCATATTATAAAAGATGAAGACACGAAAACCGACATGAACCACTTCAAACGTACGATTAACTGTGAACCGCGAAACCAGCCATGTTCTCTCTAATCATTCACCAAACACTACACCGTTCGCCAGCCAGAAGATGTAAAAACAAACATCTTCAGGCATCATCTTTCCGACGGTCCTTGAACACATCATGTGTGACGAACGCTTACGTCTGTAAAATAAGCCAAAACGAAGCTTAAACATTAAATTGTGAGCTCATCAGTGAAACTATGATGTCATGATTGACCAACTGAGACCAACAGTCATGTGACAACAAACCAGAGAAACTTTGACTGAACTTCAGGACGTGAACACAGAGCAGAGAGGAGAGAGGAGGAGAGGAGGAGAGGCTGAAACATGTGAATAGTTTAATATTTATAACACGTAGACTCTATATTGTAGTCTTTTTATCCAACATGGTAACACTTGTGGACACTTGGAAATAAGTTGTATAAATAGATTCCAGTGTTTCCAATTCTAAAGACATGTTCTAGTTCTCTCTACTTCTACTCATGATGGTTGTGTTTCAGAGGAGCAGGACTTTTATTTTGAAAAGAAAAACAAAACCACAGAGAGAAAAATGTGCAAAAAAACACCAGAGAACCAATAAAAAGCAGCAACACTGGACGAAAACATGAGGTACGGGACCAGATGCATGATGGGTAAAAACAGCAGCATCTAAAAACAGTTTCAATGTTTCTGCTGATGTCAGCAGATTCTCTGGTTGGGGGTGAGTGACTCTGGTGGATTTTGACTCACAAAGTTACACCAGAGGAGCAGAGTACAGACCAGAGGAGGTTACATACAGAAAGTTAAAGAGTTATATACTCGTTCAAAACCTCCCGACATCTGTAACGACTCAATAACTGAAGATAAATCAGGTTCTTTAGAGAGAAGTCAATGCTTCATGTGTTAAAGCTGCATTCTCTCTAGTGACCACCAGGGGGCGACTCCTCTGGTTGTATAGAAGTCTGAGAAAATGACTCTACTTCACTGTGGTCGTTCACACAGAGGGTGGACAAAACAACATGAACATCTGTAAATACACAATGCAGAGAAACGTTTTATTTGTGTTTGTAGAACACGATCGACTACAAAGTCACCGACTCATTACTCATACTGAGAGTAACTAAACTCAGAGGAGACGATGTGAACGACGGGGGAGAGAAGGACAGACGTTGACATACGGGAGAAACACAGCATTCTGGGAAATGAAAGGTCTGGGTCTCCAATGCTCTTTAAAAGCGTCTCTCTCTCATATTCCCGCTTTAATCAATTTCATTTCATCCCCCCCGACCGACGAGCAAAATGCAGCAGTAGTTCTATGTGGGGGTTCCTATGGCAACCCTGCAGTTGCTAGGCAATGCACAACTCTCCATCATCCATTCCAGAAGTCTGACAGATGGAGAGAGGGAGGAAGGAGAAGAGGAGATGTCTGAACTAGAACTAGAACATGTCTTTAGTGCAGAATAACAGTTAAACATCATAATTCATCTCTAATATCTATTTTATATTCATGTGAAAACTTCTCCTTCAAACTACTGGATTTATTCAAGTTTATCACTAAAACTACATTTTACAGATGACATGTGAACACATCATGATAACATTATAATGTACCTTCAGCCAGTACTCATGTTTACTGAGCAGAGCCTGAAGGCATCATCAGTGTAACTGAAGTGAACCTCCGTTGGTTAGCCGTTAGCGGTGCTGCTAACGTTACTAGCTCTCCTCCT